GCTGAGCCCCGGGGCCGGCCGCGGCTCCTCCGAGCCCCGGGCTCGCCTGACTGCTCTTGTCTCCCTGCCTGATGGTTGCCAATGTTCTCAGCTATGTAGACACCGTGTTGCAATCAAATGGCTATTCAAATATGCAAATCCTGGTAGGAAAGACAATGTAAATTGTTTGTTTATCCTCCTCCCTTCCCCTTAGACAGCCCCCAAGGCCATAAATTATTAACTTCTGGGAGGGATGGCATATCCTCTACAGCCGCCGCTCCTGGCAGGGACGGGGGTTGTCACAGCTTGGGCAGGTTTTCCTGCCGGAGCAGGGAGCTGGGGTGGGGTGGATGGGTACTGGGAGCCCGGCAGGCTCAACAGGCCAGATGGCCGCCGGGTGAGGTCTCTGCTCGCTCAGCAGCGGGCGCTGGGCTGGGTTCGCCTGGCTGAACCCTGCGACTTGGAAGGTAAAGGGATGGCAGCAGCATCTCCAGATTTTTAGGCAGGGATGGTATTGTAGGAGGCTTCTGTGGCAGCAAGAGGCAGTGGAGATTGTCGAAGTCTCATTCTTCATGCGTCTGGAGGATGAAAAAACAACATCTCTGCTGTAACTTGGCCTTGTTGTGCTGCCGGCGGAGTCTTGTGGTCTGCTTTCAGGCTTGTTTTGGAGACAAGCTAAAAAGTCCCCAGTCTTTGTTACTCTTGGATGCCTGTGCACGGTCGTAGCACACTGATGGTCTGTTTTCTCCCTTTGGGATCACAAAACTTTCTCATTATTTCTCACGGATTGGGGAAATCGCATCGACTTCAGTGGCGAAGGAGCCTTTGCTTTCACTCCTGCGCCCGCGCGTTGCTTGCCAGCTCTTTGCTCTGTTTCCAGGTTGTGAGCTGAGATTTTGAATTAGATGCCTTTCCCTTCTTTGTTCTCCTCCCCTCACCCCTACCCCCAAAATAAAATCAGAACTTGGCTGCTATGAAATCACCTGTAATCTGTTTGTGCTTCTTCCAGATCCGAGCAGATGGTCCTCCCCATGGTGGAATTCAGTATGAAATGGTGACAGTTTTCAAGGACGGGAGCCCAGTCCTTCGAGACATGGCCTTCTCCACTGATCAGAAGTATCTGTATGTCATGTCGGAACGACAGGTAAGGCGTCTGCTTCCGTACCTCCATGGCTGTGGCTTTCTTCCATGAGGAGCGTGTTGTTGGAGCGCGCGGAGCTGATGTGCTGAGCCCCGCGGTGTGAGATCGGTACGGGCAGAAGGAGCACCAGCAGAAGCTCAGTTTTATCTGCCCCCGACCACGGACTGTCATCAGTGCACAGGGCAGAGAGTTGTGCCCACGTGTTCCTGTCTGCAGGCGCTGGAAGCTGAGCGGAGCCGTGGCAGGGGGGTTGTGGTGTGGGGCTCTGACCCGTCCCTGCCCAGCCAGCGAGACCCCGAGCCACGAGCGTTACGGCTGCGGCGAGGCTGGCGGTCCGTGGTTCCGCGTAGCGGTGTCTGAGCAGCCTTTCTGGTGGTGCGTTGGGTTTGGTAGCCGGGGCTACAGGGGTGGCCTCTGTGAGAAGGTCTGCTGGCTGAGCCCGCCCCGGCGTAGCAAATACCGCTTCGTGGCTCTGTGTAATCAAGAACAAATCGTGTAATCTTTACCACAATTTCTCATTTTAAAAATGGGAGTAGTTTTTTTCCCCGTGTTACACTGTGATCTTACAAGGAAAATTCATTAGTGTCTGTCTAGCTTATGACCTAGGGGTGGGGCGAGCCCGTCCGTGCGCTGACAGCGCTTTGGCCGGGGCCGACGGGTTAACGGACGTCAGCCCCGAGCGGCTGAGGGCTGCAGACTGGGGACAACGGGGCATTCCCGGGAGGCGATTCCTTTGGCGACGGTTTCCTCGCACAAACTCTTCCCTGGAGACTGGCAGACCCCCGAGGCCGGTCTCGGAGCGAGAGCCTCACCTCGCTCGGCGTCCTTGGGAGCCATCCCGCAGCGTCCCAGGGGAGAGCCCCGGGCCGGGTCACTGCCTCCCGCCTTGTGCCGCCGTCGCTGGGACTCGCCACCGTCTGCGGTCCGCGTGGCCCTTCCTCTGAGCCTGCTGCTGAGCAGGGCGAACTCCTGCTCTGCAGAGAGGGGCTGGGCTGTAGACAGCAAACCCAGAAGGATTGTGATGGGAACTGGTGGCTGACGGTCCCCAGGAGTCTGTGGCTTAGGGGAGCTATCACAATGTAAATAGTCTGGGACCTTCTGTTCTTCTCCGAGACGCGAAAACACGCGAAGTCCCCGCCATTAAGCCAGACTTCTGGGTTCACTGACTCTGTTGAGCACTTTATTGGCTATTACTCACGACTGTGTAATTCAGATTAATAGAGCTGGTGCCTTGTGGGTGGTGGAGGCAGGAGAAGGTTGCATCTGAAGATGTCTGGATGCTATTAAATTGTTCTGTGTGGAGTTAACCCTCTGGTCGCTAACAGCTTTCCACGTCTGCTGGTAAACAGATACCTGTCCTCCCTCCCACCTGCTCGGGGAGGGATGCTCCGCAGAGGTAGCGCTGTGAAGTGCTCCAAGATCTGCTGGTGGAGGTGGAGAGCGAGCAGCTACCGTAACAGCTCGCCTTGCGCTAGGGAGCTTCCAGCTCCTCCCAAAGCTGGCAGAAGTGTTTTGCTAACCTGTAGCAAAACAAAAAAAAATTGGCAAGTTCTTACCTTGGGTATAAAGTTATTTAAAGCCGGGGAATGAATGCTTTAGAATAGTGCAAAGTCTTCTCCCTGCTAAAAGACTGAACTAAATGAATCCCTGTGGCTAAAGACAGCATCGTACGCTTGTTATAGGAACTTGGTGATAGAAGCTGCCGTGAACAGCGACGAGTTTAGGATCCCATTCCAGCTGGGTCTTGGATTAGATGTTAATAATGAGGATCTATGCAAACTTTGAAATTGAATTGTTTTATTGAAGTGTTGATGTGGTGGTCACTTTCTCCAGGAGCCGTGTGCTCCTCATGCTCGTGCCAGGGAGGAAAGGATCCAGCGTGTAGCTCTGTGCTGTAAACAGTTTAGGACCTGCTTTCTTTAGGAGGAAAATCCAGTGGGAATCCCTCCAACTCATCTTTTATGAGGCGAGAGCATCTTAATATTCATCAGAGTGCTAATTTGCTTAATTGTGAAACAAAAAGATGTGGAGAGATTTAGCAAATAATAGAATATTCCTGGAACATTAATTCCATTCCCAGCCATAGCTCCAGCAAGGCACTCGCCCTGGGGGGACTCCAGGAGCGGGGGGGACGGCATCCCGCGTTCCCAGCTGGATTCGCTGTAGGATTTACCTTTTGCCCTTGTGGAGATGCACACTGTGGGTCCAGAAGTCCCGGCACGTTGTGCCATGTGGATTTTGTCAGCTCCTGTGACCCCACTGCCCTAATCCTGGCGATGGGATAGTTCAGCGGAGTGGAAGGGAGAACAGATTTTTTCCCAGGTGCTACATAAAGGAGCCTGGTGACTGCAAAGGGGTCAGTAGCGAGAGGAGGAGAAAGGTCCGCCAGCTTCAGAGGGCTGAGGCTGTAAATGGTGGGAAGCGCCCTCAGAATGACTGAGAATATACAGTAAAAATGTCTTCTGAAGTCTTGAAATCTGGAGCAAAATGAAATTCTGCCACAGTGAAATGGCACAGAGAGCAGCTGCTCTTCACGTCGGTCTGCTGCCTGCTGCCGCGCTGGGGGAGGGTTGTCCAGAGCCTGCGATTTTAAATATCTGCTGAGAAAGAAGTGGGATACATGCCTATATCAAAACACTTCTTTCCAAAAATGGGTTTTTTTTTTTTTATGGATCCCAGCTAAGGAACCCGTGCTCCCTGCTGCTGAGCAGTGGCAGCTCTGGAGCTCTTGGGGCTGTGGTCCTAGATACAGACCAGCGATGAGACGCGATGCTCTGGGTTGGGCTGGTAATGCTGAGTAAACTGAGATGCGTGGACGCTTCCCAACAAAGAGTAGGTGTAACGTGTTGGTGTGAAGCCCGTCTTCCTTCTGTGCTAGCAGCGACGAGGATCAGCTCGATGCTGAAACGCGTTGGGGGAAGGAGTTGCTTCATCCTGGAGCCGTGGTTGTAGGCACAGTCCTTCCCCCTCCCCCTGGCTCCTGTCCCAGCCCTGTCTGTGCCGCGCTCCAATTTACCCGCAGTCCTTTGGAGCTCGCCGTGAGCCTTTCGCGTTTCGTTGCCAACTTCTTCCAAAGCAGAATATTTGACATTTGATTTCACTCCCACAAAGCACAGAAGCAACAGTTGCACAGCCCAGTCTGGGGGAGAGGAGGATAAAGAAACTTTGCTTCCAGCCGCCTATTCTGGGTTCTTTAACCGCATGATTTAAGAGTGCTTATTAGGAGCTTTTACAGGCTCTCTTCCCACTGCACCTGGTTTCCAATAGCTCTTATGACAAAAGAGAAACGATTCTGCCCCTGACTTATTCAAAGCAGAAATGCGTTTCCCAGCGTTGCTCCAGCAAGCAAACTCCCTTTCTGCCCGCGATCGAGCGAGGCCCGGCCAGCGCCGGACGCCGCGGGGATGGAGACGTGTTGCCTTGGAGCTTCGTGGGGTGCCGGGACGGCAGCAGCAGCGGGGCTGGGGAGC